GAAAAAGATATATATATATATATACACATATAATTTAGCATTAGAATTTAATTTTTATTTGTTATTCCATTTCTCAATTGATTTTGTGCTTTTAAGAACACCTCTTACAAATGATACTTATCAAAATTATAAACATGCTTCATGTCTATGGGAAGAATTATTTCTTTCTTACATTTAATAGTTTTCTTAGTGTAGAACTACAACATAAAGTGTGTCTGTTCGACACATACTTCAATTAAGAAATGTGTCCCACTCTCATTTAACCATTTGAGTTCTCTTTTTTACATAACTTATGGAATATAACAGTAGAATATTATTAGTAGTTTACATTCAAGTCTCATAGTTTTTAAAGGCAGTGTTTTTGTGTTAAATAATAGATATATTAGTTTTCCTTCTTCACTTATAAACCAGCATGACCTAACAAATTCAGGTAACTTTCCATTCACCTTTCAGATCTTGATTACTAGAAACAAACTATTATTTGTAAGCTTGACATTTAAATAACTAAAAATTAAAACATTTTCCAAGCCAATTACAATATCTTTTTTATATTTAACCCTACAGAAGTTTATGCCAATACATATTCTGTGGCAGTGGTTCCCAACCTTATATTCTACATACTCCCAGTCACACCTTTAAGCTAGTATCATACTCCCGGTCACACCTTTAAGCTGGCACCATACTCCCAGTCACACCTTTAAGCTGGCACCATACTCCCAGTCACACCTTTAAGCTGGCACCATACTCCCAGTCACACCTTTAAGCTGGCACCATACTCCCAGTCACACCTTTAAGCTGGCACCATACTCCCAGTCACACCTTTAAGCTGGCACCATACTCCCAGTCACACCTTTAAGCTAGCACCATACTCCCAGTCACACCTTTAAGCTAGTATCATACCCCAGATGCATATAATTTGTTAAAAAAACTTCTCTTTTTTATTAATATAAACAACTTAACTCAAAAGAAATAACTCAAGAGTAAGTCAACAATATGCAACCATTAACAGCTGGCTAGTAGAATACAACGGTAACTCGCTGTGAATGCCCTCCAACTCAGAGGTATGGAATTCTTTTTTAAAATGTTTTTCAAAGGTTCTCACGTACCCCCAGAAAGGTCTCCAAGTAACCACAGGTTCAGAACCACTATTCTTCCAAACAAAATGATGGAATTTTTCGATTGTCACTATACATTACTACTACCGAATTTCATGATGGGAACAAATATTGAAACATCAGTATTTATGTAGAGCTTACGCTTATTCCCATTTGTAACTGCTAGAACTGTTGTATGATAAGTTCCTGAGATGATACACATCTCAAATCAGTCTAGTAGTCTGTAGTTGAAATGCTTTACTACTTTAAAGTGTAAGAATGGTATGAATAAAGGATCCCGAGATATGCAATTACATTTTATCTGCTCACTTGATGTATTTATTTCTACATCCTTTATGACCGTAGCAAGACATTATTAAGGTATTTGGTTCTTTAGTGAAATCTTAGAAAAATATTGATCCTGAAAGGCTAGACAACATCAAGCAATAGCTCAAAAATGGGTGTGTCAATAAAACGTACTGGAACACTTCTGGGCTATAAATATTAATTCACTGAATAAAAACCAGCCAGTAATTACAAAGTTTTAAACTTTCAGCAATTAATATACAGATTATTTTAGTTTTGATCTAAATAGGTAGATTGCTCTAATTGCAAGTTAGTGTGAAATAATATGGGAGGGTAAATGTATTTTAAATTAAATACTTGTAACCTACAAATATTCCATCACTTTATGTATTAGTTTGATTAACACTAAACTGAAACTATTCACAGATATATATATGTGTGATAATAACTATAAAAATGGAAAAGGGAATTTTCCTATAACCTATAAAAACTTTCTTAAATCTTAGTGACACTAAAAAAGTGAAATGTAAAGAATTTAAAAAATAAACCTGAAATTATATTGCTGTAAATATTTTTCTTTACAACCAATGGATTATTGATTATTTTTGTGATAGTTCTAAAAGCTAGGTATGTACATTGTTGATTATAAAGATGAATAACAATTTAAAATTATTCAGATATATTTTACTTATAAAGATTTTTTCACTCACTCTCAGAGGTCCAAGTCACTACAAAATTACATTACAATTTTTAATTTTGTTTAGTAATATTTGGATATAAAATAGTATTTTCTGAAATTAAGTTATTTATATATTACATTTAATGTGTACTTTTAAAAACATTTTCACAATTAAAAACTCACATAAAACAGAAACAAGTACTTATAGTAGCAAGTTACAAGAACTGAAAGTGTTATAAAACTCTGAATACACCAATCAGAAAAAAAGAAGAAATATGGACTAAACTAAATAGACATAAAAATAATCAAGTAAACATAGAAATGAAAAACAAAAAACACAACTAATGTTCATAATTATGGTTTTTTTTTGGCCTCCTCAGAGATCTGATAGTTAAAAAGTCTAGTATTTTTTTTCTCCCCATTTCCCATGTTTACAGTGTACTTCATTTAATATATTTACTTTTACATTAATTTTACGCATATGTAACATTCTTTTTTCTTGTGTTTTACTAATAGCCTGTTCAACGTTATCTTTATTTCCACGATTAACCTAGTAGTAAAAATACTCTTATTTCATCAGATAAATTTAAGTATACAACAGTAATTTAAAATTACAAGAGATAACTGTTCATGAATTATGTATATGTACACGTGTATCAAATGAATAACACAAGATTTTCCACATTTTTTGCCACCAAAGTATCTAGCTTTTAACAAAACTAAGGTAAAAAAAAAACTTATAATTTAAAGGACAAAGGTGTTGGCTGCAGTATTTAATGCTTTATGTGCTTTCTAAGGGCATAAAGTTCTGAAAGCTATTTTCAATATACATTATGGAGGTTACTTCCCTGATCTGATGAAGATTAGCTGGAAAAAATATTTTCTATGAAACATTTTAGGGATTATAAACAATCACTTTTAACCTAAAAAACATAAATAATTACAAATAATTATATTCACTTATAATCTCAAATGTTTTGTTTCACTATAGATTTCTTTCGGCAAACTAATGGCCATAAATCAGAAACAAGTGACGAATTTTAAATTTTTTGGTTGGAGATTGTAAAACGTTTTTCTCCATTTTACATAATGGCCACAATTCAGAAACACGTGATGAATTTGAAACTTTTTGGATGGAGATTGTAAAACGTTTTTCTCCATTTTATATAAGTATATATATATATATATATATCTATAGCAATATCTATATTTTTTCTAACAAAATTGCTAGTGCACCTTATAACTACATTCATCTTAATATCTCCTAACAACTTCAAAACTCAAGACATTTGTATACTGTACTCAACATTCATATTAAAATTATAGAACAATTCACTGAGGGTGTTACAAGTTCAAAAACGAGAGACTTTGAACTCTGACATGGAAGAAGAGACTGGATGACAAGTCCTTCAGAAATTGATGCTCAGATCTTAAGGTTTTTCTCTTTTGTTCTAACTAGTGACATTAAATACACAGAAAAACAAGCACTCCTATTTATATAAAGAAAAACTTAAGGTTCTCAAAACTGCATATTTATTTACGACTTCCTCCAAAATAATGTCATGTTTTCACTCCAGTGAAATAATATCTGGAGGAGCTGAATTCAGTTTCATTCCAGCTGCAGCTGAGAAACTGGGTATCTAAAGAAAAATGATATAATAATAAATCGACATAAGTTTTCAAATCTGGGCAATTTATCCTGTTAAATTATTCTATTTTACATATGTCCAAACAAAGTATTAACTTGTCCTTTAATCATAATTCATTAGCCAGTTTGTTGGTTGTTTGCTTTTAACAAAGTCCACAAGACAAACAAATAGGATAACTCCGAACATACCAATTGAAAGAACACAAAATATAACATATCTAAAACTAATTCCAGTAAACTCAAAAATTAATACAAATGTAAGATATTACCATTCTTAAAACTTTGTTATCTTAGATAAACAGATCAGAATTATAATACGATAAACTGGCTTAAAACTGTAGTAAAAAAACTGCCAAGGATTACAATTTCGATAAGATAAACTGACCATGCTTAAAGTTATATATTAAAATATGATGAGCCTAATTTATCATATATTAAAATGTATTAAAAGAAACTGAACACAAAAGAAAGATAAACACAATAGGAAAGAATTCAATGGGAAGAACAACTTAAGTTGAATAAGATCATGTGGGGTGTTAACTAAACAACAACATATCCTAAGTTTTTATAAGATCCTTTATTAAAATATCTTTCCACATTTTGTTTCTGTTCTTTAATAGTATTTACAAGATATTAGTTTTAATATATTTAGATTTCAAATATAAAAAAAAGTGAAAGTCAATGGTGCAAGATATGTTTCAAGTGTACTACACATAAGAAACAAGTACATGTCCAATAGTGCACATTGTGTTTCAAGTGTACTACACATAATAATCGGGTCCATGTCCAATAGTGCATGGTGTGTTTCAAGTGTACTACACATAATAAACAGGTACATGTACACATTGTGTTTCAAGTGTACAACACATAATAAACAGGTACATGTCCAATAGTACACATTGTGTTTCAAGTGTACTACACATAATAAACAGGTACATGTCCAATAGTGCATGGTGTGTTTCAAGTGTACTACACATAATAAACAGGTACATGTCCAGTAGTGCATGGTGTGTTTCAAGTGTACTACACATAAACAGGTACATGTACAATAGTGCACATACATGTCCAGTAGTGCACATTGTGTTTCAAGTGTACTACACATAATAAACAGGTAGATGTCCAGTAGTGCACATTGTGTTTTAAGTGTACTACACATAATAAACAGGTACATGTACAATAGTGCACATTGTGTTTCAAGTGTACTACACATAATAAATTGTGGTACACTTGAAACACACCATGCACTATTGGACATGTACCTGTTTATTATGTGTAGTACACTTGAAACACACCATGCACTATTGGACATGTACCTGTTTCTTATGTGTAATACACTTGAAACACACCAGGCACTATTGGACATGTACCTGTTTCTTATGTGTAATACACTTGAAACACACCAGGCACTATTGGACATCTACCTGTTTATTATGTGTAGTACACTTGAAACACAATGTGCACTATTGGACATGTACCTGTTTATTATTTGTGGTACACTTGAAACACACCATGCACTATTGGACATGTACCTGTTTCTTATGTGTAATACACTTGAAACACACCAGGCACTATTGGACATCTACCTGATAATAAACAGGTACATGTCCAATAGTGAAAATGTGTTTCAAGTGTACTACACATAAGAAAGGAGCACTTTACTACTTATCAACATAAAACATGATTCTTTTACTTTAAAAGTACTTTTGCTTTAATTTCAAAGTTGTTTACCACCCTTTAAAACATAATGTAAAACGAAATGAAACTACATTATTTCCATGTACCTCACACTCTCATAAAATAATTTAAATCAGTAATATGAAAATCACAGTTACTTAATTTAACTCAAAAACTTCTACTGGTACAGTTCTTTCAGTTTCTATTTCCAAATATTTGCATAAAGTAAACAATAAACTACACTACAAGAATCAGTATCTTTATAAAATAAGTTCAGATCTGTGTTCATAATATGATGTTCTCTTTTGTTGTACAATAAAATATATACAAATCAATTTTCCTAGCATGAATTCAAACTAAGTAAAACAACTTTATAAATAATAATAAAAACACACTAATCAAAAGGTATCAAACCTGTCTATCACTTTCACTGTCATTCAGGTTTGTATGTAGGTCTGATAAATCTGTAAGATGAAACAATTTTTGAATATGACACATTTACTTTCATAGAAACTTCATGTGCTATACAAGCAAAAATCTCAAAATAGTTGCACTACACCTAAAGTGAGCTAAGAAAGAAAGTCAGTCCACAATTTGTTAAAATTACATAAACTATAAATTATGCTAAAGAATAATTTTGTTTTAGTTTTGTACTTCATTTCATTTATACTATGTAAAGATTGATTTCAGTACTGAAATAACCTTGAGACTCTTAAAACAGAGAGTTTCACTATAAGCTTTATATTTCTGCCTAAGTTTAAAAAAAATAAAGAAAACCACAAGCAGAAAGAAACAAACAAAATGATTCCCAACCAAAAGAGCTTCTTTAATTCACAGAAAAAATATATTCTTTAATGTAAAGTTGGATATTAACTTGATTAACTGATATAATAGATTAATTATATCCATTATTGTCATGTAAAATAACCGATTAATCAAAATATTGCCATTATGATTTATTCTTATTTTTTTATTAATTCACAGTTGTTCATCTTAATAGATCAGTTTCACAACTCAGGAAAATAATTTACAAATAAGAGTAGTGTTTACAATTATTACTGTTTTTTATTCCTATTTTTTTTATTAATTTAAGGTTGTTCATCTTAATTCATATCACAACTCAGGAAAATAATTTACAAATAAGAGTAGTGTTTACAATTATTACTGTTTTTTATTCCTATTTTTTATTAATTTAAGGTTGTTCATCTTAATTCATACCACGACTCAGGAACATAATTTACAAATAAGAGTAGCGTTTACAATTATTACTGTTTTCTTATTTCTATTTTTTTATTAATTTAAGGTTGTTCATCTTAATCAATTCATACCACGACTCAGGAAAATAATTTACAAATGAAATTAATGTTTACAATTATTCCAAATATCCAAGTTTAATATGAGAATAATCGATTAACCCTATGAGCACAGGTGGGGGTCAAAGTTGCATGCCAAGACCTTGTAAAGAGATCCATTCAATATAGTATTATGTACTTATGTAAGAGTACTTATGTATCAGTTCACACATACATATCTTTAGTATACGTATTTAATTAACAAATCTGATTTTTGTACAACAGACTTGTAGTATTTAGTAACAGCTTGCCACATCTAGAGAACATATATGTAATAAACTCGGGGTTTTAATCCACATTACTTTTCCACTATACGTTTGGGCCAATATCCAATGTTTCTATAAATGCTATAATTTTTTGCTTACTCAAATAATATGATTATAAAAAGTTATTTCAGCATGTTTGACCACTTTCAGAGAATTTCATGCAAGTAATAAATCTATTGAATATTTTGACTTTTTACAGTAATATTTTTGTAAAAAACAAAAATTAAATTTACTACTGGAAACAGTAATATCCTCATCATTAAGCATAATGTTAAGTCCGCACCTCTGAATGTTTGACTTACTTTTTTAACAGAAAACATTTTCAAACAGTGCTTCATAATATATGAAAATATCTAAGCAATACAAGTTAAGGAGAGGGTAAAATATGAGGTCAAAGGTCAAGAAACTTATGTGAGTATGATGATACAATACTATGAATATGATACAAGAGGTGAATTTGGAATATTTAAGAGGCTTTTTATGACTTTGCTTTATTATAGTGAAGCGCACGACTGCAAATACTCCTTGCATTAAAGAAATTGAAAAAGGGAAGAGTTAAGAGTGAGAATGCTGTGAAATTTTTTAGTGTGGCGACCAAATGCCAGAAATTTAAACATTTTTTTCCATTGGTAAATATGTAATTGCATCCTGATTTTTTAGAAAATAGAGGGAAACAGGATTCATCAGTAATTAAGCTTGATAAGTTTTATGTGCATACCCAGCAAAGGCTTAGGGCTCCTACATTAGTCAGCTACAGTTAATGTTACTGAAATACAGGTAGCGAGTTGCACAATGCAAATTGTTGTCGACGTGCAACTTATAGATTATGACCATGTGCTATACAGTAGTGTAGGCCTAGTTTACTGTTTATTGGCACTAGCCTATGTTAGAAATTATGGTAAAAAATACTAGTAGTAGTATTGTTTGGAAATAGAAGGTTGACTTTATGTCATGCTAATGTGTCTTTCTATCTTGATGGATAGATAGAGACACTGCCATGACATAAGGTCAACATTCTATCTCCAAGCAATACTACTACTAGTATTTTTTCAAAGGGCTGCTGTTTGGAGACTGTACAACTGATTTTTGGCAATCTTAGTCAAGTAGTCAGACATGTTGGGGTTAAATTTTGTTGGTAGAAATTAGTTTTTAAACTTTTCCTATGGATTTTGTCTGATCATTCTCAAAGTTAGATAAAGTAATAAATGGATAGAGGTGCATAAAGTTGTATATAATTCTAAGGTCAAAGGTCACTTAGGGTCAGAAGCTAGAAATCTTATAAAGCACTTGTTCTCTTTATGTGCAAGTCTGATCTTTATCAAAGTTGGATAAATTAGCAAGTGGATAGAGATGCCTGAAATTTGTTCATGATTTGTAAAGTCACCAGATGTCAAATCCTGGAAACCTTTAAAATGCTTCTCCTTCCAGGGATTTTGTTTGATCCTTCTCAAAGTTAGACAAATTAATAAGTGGAGAGAGGTGCCTAAAAGTTGTATACAATTTTCAGGTCAAACATCATTTGGGGTCAGGAGGAGGCAAAAATTAGGAGTGTTATTAAGGTCACAGGGCATTTTAGATCAGCATGATACCTCTTTTCTTAATCTTAAAGCTGATGTACTGTTACTTCACAAGTCTCATTAGTTAAAGTTAATACAGGGATCCCTCGATTAATGCGCATTCGATTAATGCGTTTTCGTTTAGTGCGTCGTAATTTTTTTTTTACAACCAATATTCGATTAGTGCGTGCATA